AAATCAAAATGTAAAAAGATCTCGTTAGTATATTGTATTATCTAGTAGATGAACGAAGGATTTGTCAAAATTTCAATTNTTAAAAAAATGGCAACGGTTTAATAAAAAGTTCATTTTTCAAGGTGTTAAATTTTTGAGTTTTTTGCCGTAAAAAAAAAGTTTTTAATTAAACTGAAAATCCTTCGTTCATCTATTAGATAATACAATATACTAACGAAATCTTTTTACATTTTGATTTCAGATGATCCGTTCTTGAGTAATCATGTCCACCGCTGAAAACTAGGCGCTCCAGGGCAACAGCTGCAGTTCCGCCATTTAAAAATATTTTTTAACAAAAAAAATTTAACATGTACTCCAAAACATGTACTAAATGATACCATTAATAGTTTTTAAATAAATTTTTATTTTGCTGTCGAAAAAAAAATCGTGAAAATGTCGTCATCTTTCGCGCTGCAAGTGTATATAACCCCTTAAGTAAAAATGTTTCAGCATTTTAAAATAATAAAATATTAATTTTAAAAAATATTGATTAAATATTTTCCAAAATAATTTGTTATTTTTTAATTACGATTTCTATACAAAGTAAATACAGTTGCGATTATCTCATTTTCTCACTTTTACTTTTATAATAAAAAGCATTTTTTATAAATAAAACTATTTTTTTTATACACAATGAATAAGATGGGCCAATGCAACAGTTATATCAGGATGTTGGTGCTACAATTTTATTATGTGATTTTACATACGTATCCTAGCTTCGACTAAACTGCGTGCTGTTATTTTCCGGATTCAACGCAATAAACAATCTAGCGCGTTTTCGCGGGGGAGGAAGGATTTATTAGATGCAAGTTAGCATCAAGTTCTTAATACGTGATAATACGGTCCTGTTTTAATCACGGGGGGTTGCGTTGAATCCGGAAAGTAACGGCACGCAGTTTAGTTAGGATACGTATGTAAAATCACATAATAAAATTGTAGCACCAACATCCTGATATAACCGTTGCATTGGCCCATCTTATTCATTGTGTGTAATACATACGGTTGCTAGATATACATATATATTTTTTTTATATTTCATTTTAAATATTAAAAAAATATTGAAAAACTTATGAATCTACATCATTCGGATCCAAATGACCCAAGCTAGATTTTTCAAGCGTCCCGTTTGAACATTCAATGTAAATAAAATACCGCCGTACAATGATTTAGGGGAAAGTTTAAAATGACATTAGCTACAATTGAAAATCTCATAGTGCCAATCATACAGAAATGCCAATTGATTACAACTTTTTTCGGGTCTAAAAGACCAACCGATATAATTGAGGATTAAAACATTCTTCGTAGCTTTACTTTGGATACCAAATGTGAAATCAAAGTGTTTCACTTTCACGCTTTAATAGAAAGAAGAAAAAAAATTCGGTCTCTCTTTGAAGTTCGAGCATTTCATTCCTTCCCGACCGAGCAATCGCGGGATTGATAACGCAATTAAAAATTCGGTACTCTATTCGCTAATTAAATCTTTTGGCCGTTCGGCCGAGTTCGTAATTACGTGCTCGAAGTTCGCTGCACGTTCGCGCACACTTTTGCCGCGATGTATTCCTGTAATCCTCCCTCTCCTTCCCTTGCTCTTTCTCTCTCTCTCTCTCTCTCTCTCTCTCTCTCTCTCTCGCGGTTTCTCGTGTTTCCCTGCGGCCACGCCTCCTGTCTCTACGTCCTCGCGTCTCCCTTTTCCGGCGGTTTCCATGGGCTTGCCGAAGGCGGATGCCAACTTCGCCAAGTTTCGGCGTAACCGTATAACGAGGTATATATGACGCCGCGCGGCAGTCAATCTGGTATCGCTAACCGTACTGTGTGCACGCGCGCGTGCATTCGAAATGCAGCGATGCCAGACATTTTAATGGCACGCCGATAGGTATAGGCACCTGTATTCGCGTTCGGCTCGAACTGTTCCGACGATTTCGAGCGCGAATACGCGAATCCCCGGGAGAAGGCTGGAGGAAAAAAAAAGAGAGGACCGAACATTTTCCATTACATTTACCTTTTTTTTTCAGACGCGGATACTCATCATTCACGCCGTCCTTCCAATCAAACTTTTCGAATGCGATCGCGCGCTTCGCGGGTCGCCCGGAAGTCAGTTTCATAACTACGTCAATGTGGCTAATGCAATGATAAATCGGTATTTCAGTTTGGAAGGAAGACTTCGGGTTTTTGGAGAGAAAAAAAGGTCAAACTGCGTAGAGGCGTCGCGTAATAACTTTATTGTTACTATATTCTTTTTCTTCTGATTCTTGGACGCAACATGTTAACTTACTTTATGTTTATACTGTAACTGATAATTTAACGACAAGTTAAAGCGACACGAAAATATATTTGGTCGAGATTTAATATCTCGTAATCTTTCGCAATTTTATAATCGCATATCTCCCTCTTTCCTTATAAAATCCAAATTTTCATATTTCCTAAAAGTCTAGCTGTCTAAGTGCTGTAACAATTAATAAGTCACGATATCGGTTTCTATCACGTGCAACGAAGAGATAGAACGCGATAAAGCGATCTTATATATCTGGGGAGAAACGCGAGATCCTTGTTTCAATAAAGCTCTTATCGTGAAAGAAGTCAGGAAGTCAAGTTATACTTTTTGCGGTATCTGTCTCTGTATAGATATATGTACATATACGTATGTGTGTACACTCTTCGCGCTGACCTCCCTTTGCGAGTGCAGTTAACGTCTCCATCGTTACATTGACCTAGATAAACGACGCCGTCGCGCCCTAAAATGCTGTGCAACGTTCAACGCGAAAAAAAGAGATGCGTGAGTGAGGTCGGTAAATTATACGGATGTTTTTATTTTCTTACCTCGCGCGTGCCACCTCTTTTACAAATTTCTGTAAAAATTCTCGAAAAGAAATTTTTACTAAAATGATACTTGAGAAAAAAACAATCATTGATTTCTTTTGTTTTACTCAATGAGGAAATAGCATTCCGAATAGGTCTATAATACAATATACAAAAAGGCTCGACTTACATATAACTTACATATATTTGAATTATATCTTACAAATTATGAATATAAAATTCTCTTTTCACTAGGCTTTTAAATTTTTATTAAAATATAAATATGTTTTTTATTTAATTAAAGTACATATTCTTAAACAACTTATCTTATTCTCCTTTACAAAGTCTCCAATTGTTATTAAACCAAAAATATAAAAAAGTATATAAAAAGTAAGATGTAAGTGCCATAATCAATGCTCAATATTTTACTAGTGATTTTTGGAAATTGATTAGAGTAAAACATTGTAACGAATTCCAATATCGAAATTATAATAAAAATTTAAAAAACTGGTTAAATAATCCGCTTAAAAAGAATTTATACATCTAATATTAAATCGTTTAACTCGAACAAAGTTTCTTTTTGTTTTAATCGAAAAATAACAGTTAATTTATCATTATTATGTTTTATAAAGTTTTACGTTATTCGAGAGCAGTGAAAAATCATATGATTTTAATAACTCAAGGAGAAAAAATAAAACACCACATTTTTCCCGATATTATTATTTAATTTAACTCTCTAAATATATTAAAATTATTCGTACGCATACACAACATTTACACTCACACACACACAACTTTTTATTTTTTCCATAAAAAGTAAAAAATATATTAATAAAGCAATAAATATATAAATTTACACAAAATATTGAATATCTTTATGTTCAAAAACATAAAGGTGAATTTTATTGCTTGAATAAATGTTAGATTTAATATGCAATAATAGTTCATTCAACGAAATTAATTTGAGATTCATAGAACAGAATATTCATCGTGCGTTTATTTCATAGCGTGTTAAATATTTTGTGGCGGCGACGAATTGGCTGGCGTACGGTGCTCGACGCTTGGCGCTCGTTTTTTTGCGGCATGTAGCGCGCGGTTGTTTGCACAAGTGACAAGGTTACCTTGCTGTTATTCGTGCGACTAGACTAAAGTAGTTCCACGTGTGTCGTGTCATCATCCGAAATACGTTCATTTCCCGTAAATAATAAGCGATTCAGCAACTGTGCGATTAATCACTTCCCACGTCTCGATTAACGTCGCGTAAACAAATCGAGACAACTATTTACCGAGACAAGTAATTCGCACGATTTATTCATTTAAAGCAAAAATCGAAATAATAACGTATAGAAATTATGAGTTATTATTTTTGTTGCGATATTTATTTTTCTTCTTAGCGATAATTATTGCTTTTTAATGTTTCGATTCGAGTATGAATTTCTAGTCAAACTTTAAATTTTATGATTTTATTACAAATTATACATTATTTTCGTATTAAAAATGGAATGATACGCGATTTACCGGAACGAACGATTCAAGTAATGGAAAGCCGTGATGTGAATCAGTGTTGTTTATAAATAATACTGGATGTATTTCGTAGGATTAACGCGTTCGAAATGTATTGCGGGAGTGCAATACATTTGAATTTCGATTGTATAATTCGGAACGGTTCATTGCGTTTTAATTAGCCATTAACTCGTGTCGTACCGCGGGGCATCAGAGTGAGTTGTCGTTTCCAAATTTTTCGCTCATTAGCGAAATGCAATCACGGAACGGCCCCGAGTCAGATTTTTTTTCACTTTAGCCCCAATGTGCAACATCGCATTGTGCGTTTAATTAATAAGCACAATCGTGATGTGTTAAGCCTATACTTTAAGGTTTAGCAAACGCATAAAATTGTAAAATCGATGTTTGTGACGTTTGTGTATCCATATATGATTTGTGGAAACATATATGTTTATCACAGATTTGTCGAACGAGCAACGTTGATACAATGCGATGACTATTTTATATTATGCACTTTGTAGAGCAGCCACATTACTAATTGGGAAGAGCTCTAGCGTCTATTCTTTTTTGCTTTCTGTCTCGCTCGACGAAACGATGAGGAGAGGTGGAAGCGTTTAGCTCGCGAGCAAATAAGTGTTGGATAGATCTGTCGTAGATGTTTATCTACGATAATGACTTAAATCGCATATTCATTATGTTATAACATATGATAACAGTCGCCGTAAAAGATGAATGTAAATTATTTGTTATTTACGATACGGGAATTGGGAAAAGTGCAGCATTGACTCGTGAAATTGGCCACGTGATTTGCCAATTCGATCTGTCGTTCGAGATACCGTCTGTCGCGCGAGACGTGCGTCACAACGTGTCAAGCGGGCCGTAGTTTGCGCATATTGTTTTCGCATTATTCTTCCGCCACGATCATAATAAAGTGCACGTCGCATATGATTAACGTCGAAAGTGTCGTGCAAAGTGTCGCGCGATTGTCATATTCCGTTTTTCTCTCTTTGAGTGACGCGCGTGAGATTGTAACCTTATTTTCGGAAGATCTATTGTACGAAAGTGCTACAAGAAAAAGCAACTCGGAAGAAACTAAGAGAAGGGATAAGTCTAGGAGGCCTCAGAAATGGTGGATGCAATCTTAGGGTAATTTGTTAGCTACATAATATTTGTTATATATTGCATCAATCTTCTTTCTCCGATTTGTGTTGTCTATATTGATATACAGAAGATTTATAGATTTCGATGTAAGATGATGATTTATATAAGTTTATCTTTATTAAAAAAATTTTTTTATTTATAAATTTTTTTTATGAAAATTTATTATATTTTATATTTAACATAAATATAAAAACTTTCTTTAGAAATTATATTAAGATTTTATTAAATATTAGTCACAAGCGTATATGCTATTTAGCTTTTTATATAATAGTATTCAAATCAATTATGCTATCACGATAATCCAAACTTTATGAGCAGTCAAACACGATCTCTGCACTAACAGTTACTTTTGCAGTAGATACGAAGTGAGCAAAGCGAAACTAATTAATGAATTACAGGAAGACAACAATAAAGTCAATTTGATTTAACACGCTTTTTTTTTTAAGAATGGATTACTTGAAAAACGAATATAAAATTTGATGCAAGCAACAATTTACTTTTTTCAAGTACTTATTGTTAATTAAATATTTTGGGCGTTACTATAATTTGAATTTGTTTGTATTTTGCAGATTAACGTGGCGTCGCAATTCTGCGCATCGGTGAGTGTGAAATAATTTTTTCGTTGTGTTTTACTCAAGGTAATGAATCTTCGAGTGAAACAAAATAAATGTTACAAATAAATACGTCTTTCATAAAATCATTGTCTTAAAATGGATGGATTAGGACAGATTAACGATCCAAATAGGGTAAATCCGGTATATACGCCGCATCTATTAAAAACTTAATTTATCAGATATCTATTAAGCCATTTATCTATTAAGTTTAAGTTAAATGAATTATGCCAGTAGAAACTTTAGACTGTTTACTATTATAAAAAAAATATTAGGAATCCAAATTATTTATTTTTTATATTAAAAAAGAAATTTCTTTAAACCTTTGCATTTTTGCCTTATAAAAATAGGGGTTATACGGCTACTCATGAGTGGGATAAATAACTCGAAAAATATACAAATAATCTAAATAATAATAGTGATTAACACGTGAATTGACAACGTAATTTGCATTTACTCATTAATAAATAAATAAAAAACGTATTATTACAGATTATGAATAAGTACATACGTAAGTATATACATACATGAATGTTATGATTAATGTATTGTAAAGGATTAATGTATTGTATTATCACGTATTATTATTTACTTTTATATTTATAAATAAATAATAGAGCGTCTGTGTTATGGCACAAATCCCACGCGCTAGAAATGCCGTATATGCCAAACAGATGGGATATAGGAGACAATAAACTAAACAAAGAATACAAGAGCTAAGCACTTGTATTTTGCTATGCTCTAACCTTTACTAAACCTCTATACTTAGGTATACATATACCACGAAATAATCACGAAACCTTTTACATTTTCTACAATAATCATTTTATGTAGATTATAACTTATGATTGCGCTACTTATTACAGTGATAAATCAATTTAACTTACAATAATTTTATAAATATTAACAGTAAAAAAACTGAAATCACAACACAATACTAATATAACATAAAAACATGTAACAGAGTGGTTGCGAGAAAATTAGTTTCACTTCTATTTTTTCTGACTTCTGCGGCGTAAATCCTCGCGCGGCGTATATACCAGGTTTACCCTATTTAACCTTGGAACATAATCTCGATATAATCATTCGATCTATTACGCATACAAAAATATTCATATGCGAAGCTCATAAAATATTATTGGTTTAGTCACATTTACTGATATGTTTGCTGCTCTAATTATACATGTTTAATATAATATTTTCAGAAAACGCGATTGACAACAACATAATAAAATATAATATTAATTATTGAATACGTCATATTTCAACAAGCTTGCGAAGTCATTACATAGATAAACTAAAGTAATAAAAAAATATTCAAACCATAACAATATTATTATTTTTAAAAAATTATTATTTTATGTAGGAAAGACCGGGGCCGGTTGTCGTACGGGATTGGTTGTCAAAATGCTTATAACTTAATTAGTACATAGCAGAAAGATCTCTTTTTTTAATTGTAGATTGCTAATTTAATATTAATTTGCTGTGTAAAATGATTTGCATCAAAAACATTGTATATATTATTTATAACGACTTTTACAAAAATGAAATCGATAAGTAAATTTTTCTTATCTCCTATTTTGTTGTCTGAAAAGTTTGTGGCATTATCAATTGCGATTTCCCTGTAATCATAGAAAATGGCATGTCTTAAAAAAAATTTTTGCTGTAGTTAAATAATCATTCTGACAAAGATTGTAAATATAATTTCTTTTATTAAAAACGGCCATGTGGGGTGGATTGACCCAAATAAGCCAAGATTAGTTGTCACACGTCGGTGATTCCGTACGTCAAACGCGGCTCCGTCAAAACGGAAAGAATTTACTCATACGAATTATGTAAATAAGAATCAATCAGTGCAGCGTTGGTTACACACAGACATAGCATCTCCATCCGCTCTATCTTTTTTTCGACTAGGCAGCGTCTGATTACTGGGATAAGTGAATTCTATTGTTTAAAGGTTAATTGAGGTTAAGTGAGTTAAAATTATGGTACGAAAACAAAAAAGGAAGACGAATAGGGCTAAAACTCCGCCTGATACTGTTTTAAAAGCTGTTAGAGCAGTGAAAATATATAATTTATATTTATCCATCCGACAAGCTGCTCTGGAATTGAATATGAATTACCGTACTTTAAGTCGTTACTGCAAGAAGATTCCAGAAGAGGATTATTTGTATGAAAATGTTACTATTTCATGTGGGCTATGTTAAAAATAAGCAGATTTTTATTAATTTTCAAGAGCAGCAATTAGTTGATCATATTCTACATGCTTCGGATATTTATTTTGGTCTCTCGTAAGAAAATCAGAACTTTAGCTTATAATCTAGCCCGTCGCAACTCAATTCAGATGCCTCCGTCTTGGATTAAAAATAAAATGACAGAAGAAGATTGGTTTATAGCATTTATAAAACGTTACAATAAACTTTCAATTCGAAAACCAGAAGCAACAAGTAAGGTAAGAGCGACGAGTTTCAATAAAACTAATTTTAAGCTCTTTTATAAAAATTTGGAAAAGGTTTTATCTCGTTATCGTTTTAAATACAATAATTATTCCTATTTCTTAAAATATAATACTAATATTAAAATAAAAATATTATTTTTTGTACATTTATCTTTGTAAGAATATAAGACAACCAATCCTGGAACGTGTGACAATCAACCCCGGATATGGGGTTCATTGTCACATTTTCACAGTTTTACTTAAAATTGAATAACTTATTTGTACGATAACATATTTCAAAATAATATATATTTTTTAATAGTTAAGGGCTATATATAGGTATATTATGATGTACATAATATTTCAAAATCTTGCATCCACTTTTTTCTAAAAATCACTAATCAAAAACTGTGACAACCAGGCCCGGTTTTCCCTAAATTTATATTTTCTCAATAATGAAGATTAAAACAAAACATTTTCTACTGAATTTTACGTAAAATAAAATTATTAGTATTTATAAAACACGATAGAAAAATTTATTGATATATATATTAAAACACATTTCTTTATTTACTTTTTTCTGTCTTCTCCAATATTATTTTAATTGAAATTAAGATTTACTCGACTTCTATATCTCTTTGAAATTAAGTAAATTTTATATGAATTGATTCGAAAAAAACAACATTCAGAAATTTTTTAAATATGCATATTTGATATATTATACACAGATATAAATAAAAAAATAAAAGAAGAAATTTGCATTTATTTATATAAAGAATACTAATTTTGTTTTAATTTTTTATAGTCTATTTAGTAATATTTTGTATCACTTGACTTTGTATTATTCGAAGTAAAATAATGAGGTCTCCAATAAATATTCTATATCGCGAAACAAAAACTTTTTACATAAATTATTTTATTATTATTTAATTTTTATTAGTTCACCGTTTGTGTGAAAAACTTAAAATAAATTATTTTATTATTATTTAATTTTTATTAGTTCACCGTTTGTGGAAAAAACGTAGTGCTTTTTATCGGCGTAATATTAATTCATTAAAGAAAGAATTCTTTTTTTAAGAAGCTAAACATCAAAGTGACTATTTTTCGCAATGATATGAAACATTCTTATACTTGGTAGTTTCGCACTACGTGCGGAGATTTTGAATAAGGCAACAAGCGCAAAAATGTAATTTAATTCTCTTCGTCGTCAAATCTCGCTAATTCGAGGTTTTAAAATACAATTTTCAATACGCTGAATAAAGATGTTACCGTGATTCTCTCTCTCTCTTTCTCTCTCTGTGAAATAATTCAACTATGTACAGTCGAATCTCGATAACTCGAATCTCAAGGGACTAGAAAAATTGTTCGAGTTATAGAGTTTTCGATTTATCAAAATTCAAGTAAAAAAGGGTTAACATATGAAAATTTGACTTACGGAGACTTTGTACGAGAGTTCATAATTTTTCAATTATAATGGCTTTTAGAGGAAAAAAATCAATATTTAACAGTGATTATTTATTGTATACATATGATAAATGTAATCATAAAACAAAATACCAGATTATTACTCACGGTTACACAACTACAACTAGCTACAACTTCGAATTATAGAGGTAGCGACAATGAAAGTTCGACTTATAGAGGTAAACTTCGAGACTTTGTAGAGTTCTGGTTACTTTAAATTCGAGTTACAGAGATAAAATATATATCTAAATATCTGATAAATAATTCGAGTTAAGGTAGATTTTATGTCGTTTTATAGAGGTTTTCTGCAGCGGAGCGGAAGGGGATGAACAAAATTTTTGTCTCATAGAGATTTTCGAGTTCTAGAGGTTCGAGTTGTCGAGGTTCGACTGTATTAAGATCATTTCGTTTAGAACTGCAGTATAACATAACTACTTTCTTTCAATACTTATTCCTTTTCATTACAAGTTTAAGTTTTATATTTTGCAGATTTTTTTTTATTACCCTGAACTGAAATAAAGTTAATCGTTTAATCGTTTCTAGAAAGTAATATTTCAGTTTCGCGGTATTTCGAAAATTTATTAATATATCGCATAATACTGCAAAAACTAACTGCATGGTCGTTTCGTGTATCGTTCTCCAAGATCGTGGAAAGACTTTATTTCCGCGTGAAAAAATCCTATTAACGCGAAATAAATATGAGAGAGATGTTAAGCGGGATGATTTTTCGCGTATATCGCGTGCCAAATTATAGCGTGACGATTGTCACGGATAAGTCGACGCGAACGCGCGTGAACGCGAGCGTTTACCTCCCGCGCGCGCACCGCGTCGCAATATTCACTCCGTCGACCGACAAACTGCATAAAACACGTGCTCCGACCCGTAAATTCATCGCCGGGCTTCGTGCGGTAGTTTGCCGTCGTGGTAATTGATATCGCAGTTTGATATCGGCTGACGTTGTGTCGGGAAAGAGGAGGAGGGGGGGCTCGGTGGAATAGGGGCTGCATAGAGTGCACAGAGAGAGAGAGAGAGAGAGAGAGAGAGACGACGACGACGACGAGAACGGACGAGAGGAGTGCAAGGGGAT